TATATATATATATATATATATATATATATATATATATATATATGTTTGTGTGTGAAAATTAAAAGAAAATGTACAATTACCTATTTACCTTATTATGATCATTCGATTGATACAGTACTATCAACCAAACATGTTGGCTACCAAATATATTTGTAGCCAACTTTTTTCGTTCGTTAGGTAGCATGTTGATTAGTTTTTTTGGTACATATTTAACAATCCTAATCTTTTTGTATTATGATTACCAACATTAAAATCACTTTCCTCGTGATAGACCACATCAACTTTTTTTTATTAATTATACCAATTTAGAGTATCCATTGAAAACATGTTTATTTTCATTTCCATCTTGAATGTCCTTCAAACATTTATTTTATTTATTTATTTTGTTTTCTTCTCAATAAGAGGCTGGATTGAAAGAGGGCAACATTTGAAGCTATCCTATACCAACATATACAATTTCCTTCCCTGGCTCCTTTGGTGAAATAATCATCTTTCATTGTCTGAAAAAGACACACAAAAAGATAATATATCTTTAAAATCATTGATAATGCAAACATTCTTTATGTAAAATTGCAATTGTGCCTCTTTTGGAGTAACTTCATTTCTTGGTGAATTCCTATTTTTCTTATATTCTTATATTAGTTGTAAGAACCATATATTACATGGGTTAATTTAAAAAAATAAATAAATATAAAGGTCAAAGTATTTGAGACCTTTGAATTTATAAGAATATAAGAAAAATAATAAATTATTACAGAAATGTAAAACCCTAATGAGACCACATGAACTTTAAATTTATAAGAATATAAGAAAAATAATGAATTATTATAATGTAAATGTTTTTGATTATTTAAATTTAAACAAATAATTTATATAAATAAACAAAAGAAACTAATGAGCTTTTAATTTTGGGAATTCTGAAATTAAAAGGTAAGTTAATTAATGAAATTGATATCCATTTATTAAAATAATTTATTGCAATTATTACATTAAAATATTATGTGGAATTTAATAAAATAGAAAAAAAACCTATAAAATGACATGTGGAAAAAAAATAATTCAAAATAACCACAAAATGACATTTGACAAATTGAATGAGAGTGTGACAAGTGGCAAAAAAACATTCATTTATTAAAGTAGATTGACCAACATTTCCAACATGTTTGACACGGATTAATTCTAAAATAGAAGAAAACCCACCACCCTTTTCCATTTGTACAAGCATGCCAATGAGGTGGTGATTGTGTTTGTACATGTAAATTAAGAAACTTTAAGATTTTATACAAATTATAAAGACTTTCACTAGATAATAACAAAAAAGATAATGAATTTGCATGGAGAATCTACAATTGTATATATCTCTACACTTACGGAAACTCCAATTCTCTAAATTTGCAAGATCTTCTACTTTTTCTCCACACGTAAACAAGAGCATATGAGATACTACCCTTATAGATCATATAAATTTTGTATACAAAATAGTTAACCAGCTCATGAGGCATGTATAACAAAACTTGAGGGTTCATGGATTTCCATTTTCATAGTTATTGCAGTCAATTGAGAAGTACATTGTCTTTTCACAATACTTGATAGAATTATGAAAAATTAAGATTTATTTGGTAATAAAAGTATAATGGAAATGATAAGGAAATAACAAACTTTTTGAACATATAAGATGCACAAAAATTAATTCCTAATATATTCATGATTCTACCGAATCATTCCTATTACCCCCACAAGCGAAATGGGAAAGGACTAACATGAAGCTTGGTGCCAAAATCTACAAACAAAGGACAAACGTAGCACAAAGCTTTAAAATCTTCAAACAAAGGAAAATATGTTGGATTAGTGTCTAAGTCCATAACTATAATTGGTATATTCTTGACCCGACCCGGCATGGTCCATT